TTGATTACGAGAATTGTTTTATACTGAACTGATAATATTATATTTCCAACGTTGTGGTTGGGTAACTTTCATACGTCTCTAGGGGATTTTTTTAGTTGTTTTGTGTATTGGCTATTTGTTAATAGTTATGGTAAAAAAAAAATAAACTAACAATTCTAACACCATTCGACGGATATGTAATGGATGCAGCCGCGTGTAAAGTATGTTTTCCTTTGGAAATTATTTTTTCAAAGAATTTTACGAGAATCAATATTTGTTTATATTAGCATTACATAATATAGATCAAACATATTTGAATAATTCGCTTATGGTAGATTGCATCCGTTCTTTTTTGACATAACAAGAACATATTTTTATATTTATATATGCATGTTGTTCAAAAGACATGCCATAAAAAAAATCTATCTAGTATTTTTTTTTTTTTAAAGTGGATATTAGATATTGTTATTATATTTTATGTTTATACTCGTGTAACAACAGCTTGTGTGAAATAACGATGCTTATTCGGTCGAAACAGCCAAAGAGAATTTTTTTTTTTTACCAAAAACAAATGTAACAACACCCGATTATGTTTAACGATGATATTTTAGCAATGACCAAAAACTTTCACATTAGAACACATAGCATCACAATACAAATAATACCTGGCATTTTTAACAGACTTAAAAAAAGAAGGAGGTTCTCAGTTCGTCTGCATAAATACGGTATAAAATCGGTATTTCATCTTACGTTTCAACTAGCCGTCGCTTCATCATTCGAAAATCGTCCTTACTAGGTCTACCCATCACTTAAAATTGCAAAATAACAAAAACACAAAAATAACCTAAGTTAACTAAAAAGGAAAATATAAATGCTTTATACAAGAATTCAATACTTATTTGTTGTTCCGTATAATGTAATTAAGAAAGTATTGTTTATTAACTATTAATTGTTGTAAAAAACGTTAATTTTTTTTCTTTTTAGTTAACTTTTGTGTTTTTTTTAATTTTTATACTTTTATTTAACACAATACTGCTCGTGTGTTTCGTATATGCGTTTCATGATTATTTAATTGAATGTGTTTTGTGGTTACTATAGCTTATAAGGGATTGAGTAGAATCTCGCTCCATAAGCTTTTCGTCATAATTAAACCATTTTATTGAACGTTTTCCGAGCATCCTAAACACACAATGCGGAGACCACGTTTTTAATTCTGAAACCGTATTGGCCAAAATTCAACAGCGAGTCCATTGTTTTTTTAAAAGGGCTATAAAGACCTAAGAGCAGTTAAGCGTTGCGCTTTATTTCCGGCTAAATAACGTCCAATTACGCACAACGAAAATGTCAAAAAATGTATATTATAACCACCGTAAGTTGTTTATATATCTTTTTTCAAGTTATCTCTCGCAACTATGGCAGAAGGGTCGTTGTCTTTTTTATATATATGGGGCATTCTAAGTTAAACCACTCGGTCATTTTCCTGACCTCTTCAACATTTTTCATTATTAACTTCTATTGGTCTAACTTATACCTTAATTTTTTTTAAATTTTTATCACTCATATTTACCCCAAAAATGAGGTTTTTTATATAATTTTCCACGGAAAATCGATTTTGACCCGTTTTAAAATTCTGAAATTTTCGTCATAAAATCAGAGACTCAAATCAAATCTTTTGGTTTAATAACGGGAATGGGCCGAGATTTATTTCTATTTTTTTTTAGTAATGACTCTATTTTTCTTTCTTCAAAATCTAACAAAAATAATGTATAATTTAATTTTTAATTTTATTCGTAAGGCACATTTTCATTTTTTTATGCAAAAAATCAAATTATACCGTGTTTTATTTTTTTATTTTATTTAAAAAACTAAAATTATACATTTTATTTTTTAGGTTTAAAAAAAAAATGTTAAATATAATGAAAATTTGTATTTTCTTAATGGTTTTTTCTTTCTTTTAGATCATGATCTAAATTTTAGATCATGCCGTAAGCGAATTTACAGTTTTATAATTTGTATAATATATGTAGGTATGTAATAAATAATTATTGTCGTTTACCGCAAGCTAAGTGGTGTTATAATACCGCAAATTATCGTTAATTAATATTAATTTAGGCGAGACGGCAGGGATAGGAATTTTTTTTTTACACAAGCTCTTTAGCTATTATTTAGTACTATATATTGGCAACAAAAGGCGGTGGATATTGTAGAAGGCGGAAGGCTATTATAATGTGTACAGTGAGCACCAACATAATTAGGCCCATAACTTGGGAATAATAATGACGCGCGCATTGCGGGATGGTCTCGCCAACTAAAATTGCTCTAAAACTAGAACTATTAACTTAAACAACACACTACACATACACACAAGCATGTATAAGCAGCCATATCGGGCACCAACTGTATTTTTAATGAAAAAAAAAAAATTACAACGCTTAATGATTGATTAGCAATATGAGATAATAATAATAATAATAAATGATAATGAAAATATGAGATTTTTTTTTCCGGTCCTAATTTTGTTTGTTTCGTTTTAAAAAATTGAGTCTTGTGAAAAGTACTCGAAATCTTTAACGTCGTCACTTGTTTTTATCACAACGAAGTGTGTTTATTGACATTTATGTTAAATACAAGTATATGTTATACATAAATTATAAAGGTTTATGTAATAGTACCTACTCTCGGATGACAAACAATTGTCTGTTATTACATTTCTGGCAATAGCGATTAACAACAAATGTATTATAAGTAAACTATACTATATAAAATATTGCAAACGAATAAAATACAACACATATTTGAACATAATATTATCATATTGTTCAACCTTAACCTGTAATCGCTTTAATTGAACATATTAACAGTCTAACTTAATTTGTTCGTTGAGAAATCGGTTCGACCGTCTGAGTTTTACTTTTCAATATTTTCTGTTTATTCATTAGATTTAAATTATCCAACGCTGTAATTTCTTTAAAAAGTTTTAAAAAAGTAGATTTTTAGGCTTTTTAACAGAAATTGGTCTTTTTTGGAAATCTGATTTTTTTTCGACTGGATAGACCATATTTTATAATAAGTACACATGTTGCCTTCTAAATTTCATATTTATTTATTTTTGATTTTATTGAGCATAATTTTATGTAGATTTCTAATATAATTATATTTGTTAAGGGGATTGCATGCGGTTGGTTTTGAAGGATTTTTGTATTGGCAATATTTAAGAAAAAAGCAGTTTTAATAATTTTCGACCATGTCATGTAATTTACCGATTAACTTGTAAAGCTTCGTGGTATTGTTTTTAATTTAAATAATTTTGTCTATGATTAAAAGCCATTTTAGTTAATATAATATACATTTTTTGTTCCATCGCACAGGCTGAACCAGTGATCCGATAAGTAATCTGAAAACAGATTTGAATTTTTTATGAAGTTTACTTATGATCGGTCATGGTACTTTTTTTGATATCTTATTTCTACTATGTATCAAACACGTTTGAACATTATATAAAATTTCAAATTTTAAAATCAAATTTGGAAAGGGTTAAAATTAAAAATTGAAAAAAGTACCCTGACCGATCCTAAGTAAACTTCATGGCGAATTCAAATCTGTTTTTAGATTGCTTTTCGAAATACTGTTTTGGCCTGTGCAATGGAATAAAAATGATGTGGTTTGACTGAAAAAACCGACCGCATACAATTCCCTTAAACGGTTTTCTCAGTTTGGCTATCGATTGCGTGCGGTAAAAATGAATGTCGTTATCGTATAGGAAAATGCCATATTTTCCAAGTTAAGTCAAATTGCGTGCAAACAAACTATGAGCTTTACAACATCCATCAATTCCCAATTGTCGTCTGCAGTGTACCAATCAACATAACGTCATAAATACGTCACCCAATAATTTAACGTTGACAATATAGCCATTTTGCCATCAAGCATCTTGTTTTTTGAGATGGCGCTTTTATAAAATTAAAGCAGACTATTCACAAAATAGCGATGATTGTTTTGAAAATTAGTCCAAATAATTGTTAGTTAAACAGTATTTATTTTTAGAAATCGGTTAATCTAAATGTAAAACTACCATATGCGATAGTATGGTCGCTTAGAGTGAATTATTAAAATATATTTTTTTTTCGGTAGAATTTTATTATTATTATTTCTTTATTTTTGAGTATTTACAAGAGTCTTGAAAGAATGTATTATTTTTTCCCGGAGTACTGAATACGTAATATAATTAAAATAACGGCAACAATGTGTACGAAAAAGTTTTTTTTATACAAAATTATCTTCTTGAGATACGCGTAGTACGGGAAAAAAGCGTCTAAAAGTAGATTTTCAGACAATAAAAAGGAAAAGAAACGCGAAAGAGAGGAAATACAAAATCCCAAGAAATCAGATTTCCATAAATCAGAGTACTAAATTGCGGGGTTACGCTTGTCCGTGATTTATTGTCAGCCATCGAGGTATCAATGAAAAGATAAGTGTAAGAGAAAATAGTAGTCGAGAAGAAAATATCTTAAAAATTAAAGAGAAAAAGTACTTCGGAATCTTATAATTCAAATATGCAATTAGAGTATATTTAGGTACTCAAAGTGTTGTTGAGTTAATACGTCAATTAACGCAGCATTCCCGTTGATAATGGCTTCTAGGTAGAGTACTTGTTTGTTACGATTAGGTTAGTATGCATAACTTAAAAGTTAAAATCAAATAATCATAGAAATTATTATATTATAACATGGTGTTTTTGGCCTGCACTCGTGTATTCAAATAAATAATTTACTAGATGGGTAGTGTATAACTAGTAGTTAACTTTTATTACTAAACAATATTAATTTTCAACGAATGAAAAGGAATACATTTAATATATTTATTTTTGGAGTATTATATACACAATTAAATATTGTAAATGTTTGTTTGAGTAATGTAATTTAACAAAAACAACAAGACTGTTGTAGCTGCATACATTAATTTTACCTAAAATATGTTTCAGTTGAATCTATTTTAATAGATCAGTGTGTATTTGTTTTTAGATTGTGCCAGAAGGAAATTCTGGATCCGAGTCCTCTGTACCTGAACAAGGCACGAGGTTCAGTAAAATCCGACAGACGCTTTCATCCAGTCTAATGACGGCGCAGGATAAAAGTGAGCAAATTTTAACTAATCATATTGTTAAATATTTAGAATAGTGGCAATTATGATTAAAACAACAAATCACACAATGATTCTTTTGGGATTAATTAGAATTTTTTATAATAATATATTTTTTGAAATTACAGGTATAATTTGTTTTAATTTTTCTTTAAAAATGCATGATTTATTTAATTTAAATAGGTATAAAATACACTCACCATTGGTTTCTATCAATAATTTTGATAGGTACGTTGTTCAAAAATATTAATAACGAATATAATTTTAAACTTCTGTATTTGAATATGTTCGAGAGTTGTTTACCCCTTAAAAGTATTATATATTTTCCATATTTATATATTTATAATACTGATCTAAACTAGATTAGTCAGTCAGCATAATTATACTTTTTAATTTTTCTTCAAATTATGTTAAAAACTTTAAAATATTCGAAAAAAAAATTATCGAAGCGGATAAACGTATATTATAAAAATACATGGCTATCGAAGAAAACACTTAAAATTATGAGAACTATGGAAAAAATAATTACTTACTTGAATTATGAATGGATGCTGTGGAGCGCACTGCTGGTTATATTGTGTACTTCGACTTGGTGTACATTATTACAATCTTCCATAGATAAAACTGAAAATCAAATTTGTTCGAACTTAATTCATTGACGCTTAAAACGTTATGTACAACGCATAATTTATTATATATATATATATAAATTAAAGAGAGAAAATCATAATACTACATAGTAGCATAACTTAAGAATTCGTATTGTTCAAAACTACAAATTGAAAACTTCTGAACTCGAAACCAAAATACAACCCATTTGTTATAAAGTATGACAAGACATTATTAATTAAGTAAGGCTAAAACCGAATTGTTCAAGTAATTTTCTTCAAAAAAAATAACATAGCGTTATAATATTACAATGTAATAATGTTTTCAAGGGATAAACAAAAATGTGAATATACAAATAGTTTATTATTAAGTTAATATTTCCTAAAAACCATTAGTCAAACAATATGTGAGGCGCATAACGCTAGAAAAGCTTAACTCACAAAACATTTAACTTCATTTTATTACATTAAACATTTTAGAATAATACATTTAATATTTCAAAACCAAACTGACCTAAATCTAAAAATAAATCCACTAAATGGAAAAACTTAATTTGTATTGGAATTCAAACAATGACATTTAAAAAATTACAATTGGCTTTTTGTTTAAATAATATATTTGTAGGATAAGATTTTCTGATGATTTCTGCCTCATAATTTAACTTAAATAACCGGTTCAGATAGCAAACTATTGTCTAAAAATAAAATCTAAATCTATAAGTAAAATATAGTTATTCGGTCGTGTTTATTGTGTAAATTATTTTGTAATAAAAAACCTTTATTTTAGGTGTATACAAATTAGTTTTAAGTGGCTTTTATGATCAGGGAACCATGAAGTTGGCGATAAATTCATATTTTGATGAAAGGGTTGTGGTGTAATTATCTGAATGTATTTTTTAAAGATAATTTCTCATGAAATATTCAACTATGTAAAGCCACAAAATTAAGACTGAAAATGAGTCGCGTTAAACTAAATAATCAGCTTGCACGTTTCAAAGAAAAAAAAATATTATCATTTATTTATAGTAAAAAAAACTTTACTTTAACCGAAATTTATTATTTAAAAATTATCATTTTTTTTTTTAATACAAGCTGCGAAACTTCGCAGAAGTTGATTAATTCCACATTGCCATCGTAAATTTGAATTGCAAAACTGCGGACTTGGGTCTCGAAAGCAAGACTCATTGATTTATCATTTAGCCATAATTCCTACAGGGCTTCAGCATTATCCATCGTCCTGGTTTTTGAATCAAAATTAATTGGACTATCCATAATTTTACTCGTTAGTAAACAGATTTTAATAAAATGCAGAGTAGCAAGAGATATACATATTTTATTTTTGCCGGTTTTTCGGAAACTGTTTATTTTTGCACTAAAATATATTACTTTGGTTATTTGTACAAGATGATACCTTTAACTCTGATGAAAGATAAGTCGCTACTCGTGAAAAATAACTTTGCAATTAATTACATCGCTAGTTTTTGTATACATTTAATTTATTGTTATTATTATTATTTAATTTTTTTTTAGTGACGACTAAGCTAAATAGCGCCAGCAGTCGGCAAAGTCCAGCTGAATCTAGTCCAACGCCTAGTCCTGCGTCACCACCAGAAGATACTTCTATTAAACAACCGCCAGCGACGTAAGTATTCGTAACACAAAGTTAGTTTTTAGATAATATATTCACTTTATTGTGCAGATTAATGCATTTACACCGTGTACGCTTCTAAATGTCATTCCCATTGGTGTATTTATTTTATATTTCAATCAAAATATCTAATTAACAAACCTTCGTATTCGTTTTTTTTTCTACCTACACTAGGGTTGAAATAGATATCATGAAATATCTGTACTATACTCGGGTTACATTACACGTACATGAAGTATCAAATTACACCGTTATGTCACTATCGAGACAATGCATTATTTTACATGATATAACATTATTATACTGCAGTACAATTGTACGGTATTAAATTTGACCGCTATTGAAAATATGCGGTTTGGGTTTCAATATATTACTTTGAACTGACTTAATTTGTTATTTTATGTTCGAAGGGCAATATAATGTTCATTTGTATTTTTGGTGTTTACTCGCTGATATTCTTGTAAGATCCAAGTTTTTCTGTAGAATTCGATAAATTCTTCGCCATTTGTGTCATATATACCAGACTTGTTGGAAAAGTATTCGTGTCCTTTAGAACAATACCTTTTTTTTAATGCATTTCTTAAGTACAAAACAGTACTATTGTTATGTGAATAATTTTCGGATGCTGTAACTGTGTCTTCAGTTTTTTTCTGACGTTTATTTTACAAAAGAGTCTATTCTAACATTATTATTTAGTATTACTTAAATAATCTATACATCTTCATTTCTCTAAAAAGTCTCGAGTCAATTGGACTGTTTTTATTTCTATCCATAATCATCAATGTTCATGACAAATGTTCCTGCATCTAGGATGTTTCTCTTTTAGTATTATTTGAGTTAAAAGTATAAATTTAATTCAGATATTTTTAGCCAACACCGCGCTGTTTAAAGTATACTGTTTTGGGTAGTTTGCCTTAAATATGCGCTATTTTGTTGGTATTATGTTAATTTGTTGGTAAGAAATGATGTCGAATTTTATTAGCTTTTTCCATAAAACTGTACCGCCAAAAAGTGAATGCAGCGTGAATTCCCGTCGGATGTCCGGAGAGTAATTTTCTCAAGTGTTTATATACTTAATAAAGAGGAGTCAGTCTGAAACGTTCTGTTGTTATTCTTGTATGTATAGTAGCTTAGTTGTAAATAAATGTTCACTGTTTTGACATGCGTGGGTCTGTTTTACAGCTGTTATAATATGTATACACCCTGTTTGTGTTATCATTATTATTATTATTTTGGTAAAATTATAATAGGATTGAGTACTCATGTTGATAATTTCGGTTGACCATTATAAATGTAAATGATGTTGAGGTCCTACATAGTAACGAGAAAAATATTGAGCGAGTTCTATTAAGCGTGTTTACCTAACCCTTGGTTACTAATTATATCAGTGAATTACAATTTAGGCTTACTATCAAGAGTTTACTGGAAAACTATGGACGAACAGAATATATTATTATACTTTTTTACATTAATCTTAGTTGCATCAGCAGTAAAGTTATATTTTAAATAAATTAAAAACAATTAAGTTATAATATTAAGATTTTTAAAATGCTGTACTGACTATTTAATATCATATTATTTGCATAATTGCATTAAAATATTAAAATAAGAAAACAATATTTAATATTAGTTAAAACGCAGTATATAATCAAAGATAAAAATATATCAAACCATAATTAGCAAATTATAGCAAAAATATTCGCATATATAAAAATAGGTACACTTTTCATGTTGGACAAGTTAAAAAATGTCACCATTGTTGTATTCTGGCCACGTAATATACAGATGCCAACTTCTTACATTATTTCCAAAACAAATACATTTAAAATGGTTTCTTATAACTTTAAGTTTGAGAAAACATCACAACACTACTGTAGAACCTCACATTAAAAGGGTAGTGGCCTGACCAATTAGATTTTGTTAATTTTAATGTATGTATTATTATGCATATATAGTGTATGAATATATGTATTATTTTAGATAAAATTGACCAAAACGCTTCTATTAAATTGATGTATACAACGAGTGTTTTTTTGACCGGTGTGAAGACCAAAAGCAAATTAGAACTAATTAGGCTTTCATAGTGTGAATTTTCTTTTCACTCTAATAGTGTTTTATTTCACAACACAACCGCTAATAATTTTTTACTATGTGATTTTGATGTTATTGTTATCTTTCGTCGATATATTATTTTATTAAATTTTGTTTTTTTTTTTTTGTTACGGCTTGTCGGTGTCAAACTAAAATGTAAAACTATTTCACAACTTTGGTGTGATCTCGACCTCTGTTCGCATGTCCCTCTGCTCTTCTTCCGCTACGTTTATGCGGTCACGTTTTCTCCGGCAATTCCAGAACAGGGAATAAAATTATTAGTTGTGTACGGCCAAATAACAAATCATATCATGAATTCAATATATATGTAAAAGAAGGCGCGTATACACACATAAAATATATCGGAATGTGAAAACTAGAATAATAAAATATGAATATCACATACTGTTATATAGTAATAATTGGTAATAAAACCGTGAATATTTTAAAACGCAACGGTTTTTCAGGCGATTGATAAACGTTGTATTATACCAATGTGCGTACGGTGTGTGTATGTTAATATTTGATTATTACACATAATGAATGTAATTTGTGGCAAACTGACGGTGTCGGTAGCGGTAAAGCTAACCTGTTGACCGTTCCAGGTCTATGCGCGTATCGATCGGTTCCGGTAGCAGGAACGGCCCCGGCCAAACAGCTTATTAATAGTCTCTCTGGGTCGTCATACTATATTGTGTATCGTTTGTTGTTTATTTATTTTTTTCATATTTCGTTACGTTTGCAACTACAAAATAATATAACACAGTAGGTATTATATCGGTACCAAATACACGGGATTTGTCTCTCGTGTTTGCAGGGCGAAGGAGATAGAAAACTTGTAAAAATACCCGTCATTATAGTGGTTAGCTGATGTAACGGGACGTAAGGCTTTGGCCTTTGAGATTTACCTAAACGGTTGGGATGCGACGGCGGAAAAGGCGGTTGCCATTCATCATAATCTCGACGAAAACGAAAACTGTGTTGAAATGTGTTTGCGAGCAAAACGTCCATGCGGGGAAATAATAATACTATACCTAACTCGAGATGGATAGACGGCCCGTGACACTTGTTTTGAATCGTTTATATTATATATATAAATTATGACAATTGTGAATTTGTAAAAAGGCTGTGCAGAAATAATTCAAAAACATGTTACGACCGTGCCAAAATACGTGAAATTGCTAACGTAAATATGTTTGCAAACAAAAACGTTGACATTTTTCATTTCTACTTCAAAATTGTAGTATGTTTCTCTTGTTTTTCGCTAAAATTTATTCTCAGTGAAACACGATTTGCGTGATACTACACAATATTGATTGCCTATAAAACGCGCTGTCATTTGTTTTGCATAAGCAAACATGGGTTAAGCTTATACAATTTTAAAAATTAATTTCAGACAGTGGTATTGGTGTTTATTGAAATAAATTAAGATTCATTAATAATCGTTACTGTAGAATTCGATTACATTATGTAATTTCCATCCAATTCCAATTTCAAATGGCCAATATCCGCTATATTGACCAACGTTTGAAAGTGTTTAACATATTATGTTAACATAATAAATATGTTAGCACATGTATTTTGTATTGTTATTATGAGGGTTTTTGCTTAATTTTCTTCGCACAATGTTAATATGAAACGATTAGCATTTAACTATTTCAAATATTAATTTTATATATTTTATTTCAATTAAGTATTTTATATGAATTTAGGTTACAAATAATAAATATTTTTGGAATAACTCTGTAGACTGAACGCACTTGTACATGACTAATATTGTTGCTCTTGGGCAAATAAATAGAAATACTGCTGAGGTTTTTTTTAAAAAAAACTATTGATAATGTTGTCTCCCTTTTTCACGTCAAGTAATACACTGTTTAGAATTTACAAAATTCAGAATTCTGTAATCGGAAAATTGTGTTAGCAGTGTCCTATACGATAGCAGTAATCCATCATGTTCCTATTACATTATATTTTTTGATGAAGTCTTAAATTTAAATTCGTACAATTTTTTAACACTATTTTCAATTTAATACTCGACTAAGAAGCGGTAAGTGACCAAATAAAAAAATATTTATTATAGATAAATAAAAAATTAAAATTTATTTAAGATCAATTTTAATAAAAAAACTTATTATATTATATAATTTTGTTATGTACAAAAATCGAATAAAAAAAAATCCTGTTACTTTTTTCCCTGTAAATACAATTACATTTCCATTTCCATTTGTTTACTTGACACTAAATATTTTTTCTCGTTAAAAGCACCTTAAATCCGTACTTAAATATAATATCATGTTTATTTGCGGTTGACGTTTGTATACTAAAACAGTTGCAAGTGTACTGTGTAATGGTTTTACAGTGGAACATAATATAGAATCTAGTGGAGAAGATTTTTCACTGAACATAATAATGAGGAATGGAGCTGTAGTAAAACACAGACAGTTGAGTAGATTTAAAAGTTTTGATACCAATTACCAAAAGATATCAATGTCTAAAAGAAATAATGACTATGAATAGACACATAAAAAAAATGTATCATTGTAAAATCGCATTATCTTTTCAGCTTCCCTGAAGTTTCAACAAAATTATTATATTTTTATATAGTTGTTATTAAAACACTTACAATTATCTTGTATTTTATTTTACGCTTATCAAAAATGTATCAAAAACATTTTTTAATTTTAGATTCTCTTAGTCAACTAACCCAACTTGATTTTATGACCTAAATTGTATGTTTAATTATAAACAATTTAGAACGTGAGGTGAATATCTAATAGAACATTTATAAAAAATAAAATGCCTAGGATATTTTACAGACATCATAAAATATAGTATTATGTACATTTGTATAATATTATACAAGCCTCAATTCGATAAACATTTTTTAACAATGGCCACAT